AAAAAAAAAAAAAGATTAAGTTTGTGTTTTAACTCTTGTGAGAAACCTTTCTGTATCCTTCCATCTTTCCCTATACTTGGTTTGTGATAAACAGCACTTAACACTAAATCACTTGTTCACAGAGTCATTGATACCTATAACTAAATACTATAAACTGGAGGCTGGGGAGTCTGAGATCAGGGTGCTCGCATGATCAGATTCTGTGAGGCCCCTCTTCTTAGTTACAGACTGCTGACTTCTCACTGTGTCAGCATATGGAAGAAGGAAAGAACTTTCTCTTCAGGCCCTTATGAGGGCACTAATCCCACTTCTGAGGGCTCTACTCTCAGACCTAATCACCTCCCAAAGGCCCCACCTCCTATTAATCACATTAGGGATTAAGTTTTGATGCATGAATTTGGGAAGTATTCGTTCATTTCATAACAATGCCTGAGATATTTTTCAAGTGCTTATTATTTGCTCTGTACTATGGAGATGTAAATATGAATTAGGTCCTACCTTTAAACAGCTTATAGTCTAGTGTGGAAGAAAAGCAGTAACTAAAATAAAAAGTAGAGGTAAGTGCCATGTGGGAGATAATAGTGGGTGTCAGCTATTGGAATGCATAGTATGTATTAAGTACATTATTATCAAGTTTAATCTTCACATAGCAAATCAGTGAGGTAGGTGGTACTATTCCTTCCTATTTTACAGTAGAGGAATTAAATGATTCTCTAATACAAAGAAGTAAAGAAATGGACCCACATTATTCATTCATATGGCTGAGCTGGACTTGAACTAGGGGCGTGCAAATGCCGTATCCTTATCTTCTTTGGGGTAGTACACACAGAACATGTTTTGGACAAGTAGTTTTATCTTGCCTGTCAGTATAAATTTTATTTGTAATACCAGCACATAACAATTTCATTTTTCCTTTCTTTTCAAGACACTGGAGGAAGAGTTTGCCAGGAAACTGCAGGAACAGGAAGTGTTCTTTAAAATGACTGGGGAGTCTGAATGCCTTAACCCATCCACACAAAGCCGGATTTCCAAATTCTATCCTATTCCTAGCTTGCATTCCACCGGATCATAACAATGGAAAGCATTCCGTGCTTGAGTTTGGCATTTCCAACATCATTCTATTCTCTTCATCTTCTGCCACAGTCTATAGCAGACAGATCACGAAGACAATCACCTGCCTTACCTTCTAGGTGTTTTTTTGTTTTCTGTTTTTTGGGGTTTTTTTCTTTTTTTAACGCAAAGATGAAGGGAAAGTGAACTAAGACAGATGCTGGGCTATTTTGGCAAAGTAGCATCTTGCACTAATTCCCGACGTGATTTTGTATATTTATCTTAAAAGTTGTATTCCTTAGGCACTGTTACCTGAAAACTGTTAAGAGAAATAATGTTTAAAGTTATTTAAAAAAACTGTTACATCACTAAGTATTAATAAATGTCTTTTTACCTGCCCTAACTTCTCAGTGATGCCTAAATTCTATTGTTGACACTCTGCTGTAGAGGGTTAAAATGATTTTCTTTTTGTGAATCAGCTCTCATAAAAAAGCTATGAGTAGCTCAAAATATTCTATTGATTCAGTAAACAAATATATTTTATATTTAAATAGGAAAAAACTCTTTTAAAAGAGAAAAATTATTTCAGTAGTTTGTTGAAAATAATTACCTATTCAAGCATGAGCTAAGAACTGAGGGTGCTAGCTTAATTAAGATAGTGCCTAAAACACTATATTTTAATCAAGTCTAAAATAGGATTTTCTTAGGCCAGGCGTGGTGGCTCATGCCTGTAATCACAGCACTCTGGGAGGCCAAGGCGTGTGGATTGCCTGCGCTTACAGGTTCAAGACCAGCCTGAGCCAGAGCTAGACCTTGTCTCTAAAACTAGCCAGGCATTGTGTCAGGTGCCTGTAGTCTCAGCTACTCTAGAGGCTGAGTCAAGAGAGTTTGCTTGAGCCCACGAGTTTAAGGTTGCTGTGAGCTATGATACTATAGCACTCTACCAGGGGCAACACAGTGAGACGCTGTCTCAAAAATAAAATAAAATAAAAATAAATAGGATTTTCTTTTTGATCAATAGGGACATAACAGCCTTAGCATTAAACATTATCATTTTTAAAATCTTGCTCCTATTACCATTTGGTGAGAATTTTCATCCTAAAATATATGTTGTGCAAAGTTTGGAAAGAATAAAAAAGTAGCTTTTGGATGTGCAAATTGGAAATGTAAAACACCAAAATCAAAGTAATATAGATTTAACTGCCTCCATTAATTTTCTAAAATAATACATGAGGTAAATGAGTTCCCTCCATCGTAGTGCATTCTGTTCGTTTAAAACTCTGTGAGGAGATTGCAGGCTTTGAGTTATATTTATAAATATATTTTCTGAAATTAATTTTAAAGGAAGCATTTGTTCAGAATACTTTTTTTAGAAAGGATTTAAGTATTTAGGCAAACATCAGAATGGACTTTCCATTGTTTTGAAATGAGGCTACTTATATTTTGGTTTTATTTTGTTCCATATTTAAGTTATTTCCTTTGAGTGGGAAAAGCCTCAAACCTTTATCCTGTGGTTGCTGATATGTGTAATTATTAATGAAATGTTTGCTCTTAGTCCCTTGTGAGGCTTAAAATTTCAACCGTGTCAGGTCAAACAGTATTACCAGCTGGACATTGGTGAGTGAGACAGTAGTTTGTCAAAGATGCTCGATACCTGCCATTCACAACCTATTCTCTCTTAAGAGTGCTAGGTACCAAATTGTAAGAGTTTATTTTTAGTTGTATTACTTTTGAGGCTGGTGGAAAATTAAATGTAATGTTGTGGGAACACTGATTTATACTAAGAAAATGTAAATGTAGCACTTTTCTTGCAGTTAATTGAGAACTTTGGATGCTGAACCTTATTTTGTCAGTGGTTTAGATGATTTAAAAATGCATGTGTGACTTTCATTTTGTAATTGTTTTGACAAGCATAATTTACTTGGACAACTTTGTAGGTAGCCTTAACTTCTGGCCAAGTTTGTTTTTATATAAATATATATACATATATATATTATGTATTGTTGTAAATTCATACACTTAGCACATGAATGTGTTACTGTATACAAAAAACTCTTTTAATGCTTTATTCTCAAATGCTGGGTTGAAAAATGTTTTTAAAGCCTTTAAAAATATATATCTTTATAAAATAATATTCAGGATAATGGAAATTGTTTATATTGTTACGATAAAAATGACAGTATAATGTTGCCCAGTGTATTTAACGATGTATTTTAAAGCGGGAGTGGGGAGGAGGGTTCTCATAGCCACTTTCTCTGACATTTTCATTTTGTGAACTTTTAAAAAATGAATACTTAAGGCAGTGGATATTTTTTCAGTGATACCCTGTGTGCTAAATAGTTTGTGGCACCTAATTAATTTGGTCTGAATATTTGATTCTTTTCCTTTCAACTTGACATTCAGAGTATTGACTCAAGGAGAGAAGCTCAGAGTGGCATGGTGGAGGCTCCGGGTAGGGTTCTTATCTGCTCTTGCATCTCCCTTAAAACTGTCTTTCGGATACAGTGTTGTGCTTGAGTTCTTTTTCAAATATGACCATATTCATATGGGTGCAAGACTACATAATGACACATATGTAGAGGTGAAGCATTCTTTGTAATACTTAACACATTAACTGCCCTCTGAGTTGTATTTAACTTAGGCTTGTTTTGCGCCCAGGGCCTTGTGAAGCAGATAGACTTACATGTCTCTTGACCTGTCTAGACCTAATAAAACACTGTGGCCCTAAGAAAAAAATTTTTTTCTCCTAGTGTGGCAGTGAGTGTGTTAAAGTTACATAAATTTTTTCAAAAAGTGTTTTGTTATAAAACTATGCTGTATTCTGGCCCACCTCTTGTTAGGCTATATTTGGATAGATAATAGTGATCTTTCGTTCTTGCATGAAGTGGAAGTAGTGAGTGGATGAGGGGTGCAGACTTCTTTGAAATCTAATAGTACAGTCAGATTTTTCCCTGATTCAGTGGTTTTGTTGCTATGGCAGGAAGTACCATGAAATATGCATAAAAGAACTTCTCCATACGTACCCCCTAACAGTCCCCTCTCCCCTTTTCCCTGAGTGCTGTGACATAGCAGACCTCCACACTTCTGTAGGTCCAGCTCCTAGAGCTCGGGGCACCATGATGCCTTTCTTAGTCCTGTCAATTCAACCTGTCAATGTATGAATTGCCGAATTAGCTGCTATTTCATGTGGAGTCACATTAAGCTTTTTCTTACCCTTTTCTATGGGGAAGCTATAGGGTGGGTAAGGAGGAAATTTAGAGTACATTTACTTTGCTGAAAATGTTAGAACTTTCTCGTGGCTGGATACAGCAAATTGTAATTAAATATAAACCGGAACCAGAGCTACCTCTAAGTAGTATTTCCTCAAGCACAAAGCTCTCAGGCATGAGACCCACTTTAATGGAGGGTCTCTGATTTCTTGAGCATCAGTGAGTTTCAGAAGTGACTATTTTTTGTACTCTTCTAGTTTCCTTGTAACTACACACTTTTTCCCATTCCACACTGTGCTTAAATGACAAAGACTTCTGAGAAGCCAAATTCTGTCAAAGTATTAGCTAGAGATAATGTTGAAAACCTAGACTGAAGTTGAAGAGCGTTCCAATTCTAATAGTCTTTTGACTAAATCAATCAATTCTTTTCTGGGAAATGATTTTTTACAGGAAATGGGATGATGTTTTAAACACTTTCCTTAAGTTGAAGGCACAGCAGTTAATGCCTCTATTGTTGCTATTCTGTGGCTGATGTGGTTTTGATAAAGCTTTAAAATTTCTGCTACTAAGCCTGGGATAGAGTGTTTTACCAGTTTTAAATGTTGGCTGCAGCTTTTTGTGATCTTTCTCTGATTTGCAGTGTAATAAGTTCATAAGCTAAATTTTCAGAAAGAATTTTGTTTCAGATTATGCCTCTTGTCCATTTGGGAGCAACATGTCTTTTCAATCATGAGATTGACAGACAAAAAATAAAGTTATTTCTTAATCTATTTTGGGAAGCAGTCTTTTATTGAGTTTCTTTGAAATTAGATTGTCCTGCATGAGAACACTTTGCAGATTTTTTGGTGCAAGTTCTATTTTAAAACTTGCAGTCCTCCAAGTCTTCTGACCTTTACAGACTTGTTAGTGTTCCTGGCCATCCACTCCACATCACATACACACAAACACACACACACACAGAGACACAATATTTTTATTGGTAATTTGCTGGGAGGTTTCTTTCAGCATGGAAACACTTTCTTATATCTATATGTTTATGTTTTCTATTTCCTTTTTCCCCTGTGAGATTATTTTTCTCACCAAACATTTCACAAATCATGTGACCTAACTTCTGCTAAAATAACCTCTTTTTGTCATTGATATATTCATGCAGGATTCAGTAGGCACCAGGCAGCATCATTTGGCAAGTGTTCAGCTTGACTAGAAGGAAGCATAGCATGCCATTTTCTAATCTAGGCGTGTCATGCACTATTGAGCTCATTCTTGACTTTTTTTTTTTTTTTTAAACAGAAGAGGTTCTGATCCATCTCTGTTCAGCTGGAGATAGTGATGAATCTGAGCCCATCCTCTTTCTGGGTTTTGTCCAGAGAAGTTACCAAGTTTGGAGTTTTACCTTATTTCACTTAAGCATAGAACTTTATGAAGACTTTTAGATAGTGTAGTAAATCTAGTAATAAGGGGAAAACTGCTGAAGTCTGATTAATCAAGGTAAGAATCATTATTAAAGTCCTTGAAGTTTCTTTTAAAAAGAGTAAAAGCTACTTTTAAAATGTAAAATTAAATCCAGCCTTTGGGGGTAAAACTGGTAAGTTTTTTTGAAAAAAATTATTAAAAAGGCAGATCCCATTAATTCATTATATACAATAGTTAAGTTTTCATTAGAATCAAACTAAAGTTGCTTGAAATTGTTATTTTAAAAATTCACACATTTGGCTCGGCGCCTGTGGCTCAGGTGGCTAAGGCGCCAGCCACATACACCTAAGGTGGTGGGTTCGAATTCAGCCCGGACCCACCAAACAACAATAATGGCTGCAACCAAAAAACAGCTGGGCGTTGTGGCGGGCGCCTGTGGTCCCAGCTACTTGGGAGGCGGAGGCAGGAGACTTGCTTGAGCCCAGGAGTTGGAGGTTGCTGTGAGCAGTG